GTTGGCGAAGGAACAGTCGCTACCTATTTTTACGTCTTAGGTTTGACGCTGCGCCAGGAACGAGAATCGAACCCGGGCCTCCCGATCACAAAGCGAACGCTCTACCACTAGGCTACCGTGAACGGTCAATAATGAGAGAAAGTCGGGTTTAATGTCATATGATACCTGTATTGTATGCCTTACAGTTCAGGTCATTATTTATTGAATAGCCCTCATATATTTACATTTAAAAAAATCAAACAAAATCCAATAAATCGCTGTAAAGCGAGTAGGTTGACTTAGGAGAGATCAGCATCTTGGTTTGCGACGGTAGGTTTAAGCTAATAATCTTTGATTTTAACCCCAAACATGTTTATTCCGGCCCAAGCTTCTATATTTGTATTAGAGGTAGCTAATATGTTGATACTAGTCCCACAGAAATCATAGCACGTGACTTCCGCTGTAATGTAGATTTAACAACATTTTATAGAATCTAGAAGTGTTTGACCTGAGAAGCTATCATTTTAAACATAACCTCGGCTTGTTCTTCTCCCACAACTCCCTTTAAGAGATGCAGTGATGATGTCGATAATTTTGGAAATCTTTCCAGTCCACAGTGCAACAATACAAATGTGATGGGATTTATGATCATACACAGAGACGTAAGCGTAGCCAAGCGTATTGGTCTTACAATTAACCTTTAATAAACAATGTCTCATTGCTACCCTATGTAAATCAACAGCTAGGTCTACATCATATTCGCACGAATCTTTAATCTGTCTTAAGGAAACTTAAGAATAGTCTTTTTGAAAAGATGAAGGTAAAACCATATTTAAATTCCCCGACACCAGAATATAGGCTCGGATCTGTAATTATGGCAAATCATAGGCTTCTCAAACCCCCATGTTTTACTGAAGAAAATGCAGCCGAAATAATCCGTCTTTTCTTTAAACTTTGATATGCCAATAAAGGAAATGACGCGGTTATTAAAAGTAATATTCTTAATAAAATTGAAAAGGGTCGCAGTCTTGTATTCCACCATATTTAAGTTAAAGACTACATCTTGAATTTCCTACAAATGTACATCGACTATTGCTTCAAAATTTTTTAATTAAAAACTTTACATGGCCTGTACACCTCGGGTATTTAAAACATAATTCAATTGTTTTCTTGTCCTTCTTAGCCCTATAACTATAGGCCCGATGGCAACGTTATTACAGGTGATGTTAATAAGTTTATAATGAATACATTATATCACTTATTTTAAATAAAAAGAACACCGATCCTTAAACTGGGGTCGGAATTTATTTCATTAATATTATGGAATCTGTTGAAAATTTCGTCAGACGATGGGCTAGATATGAAAAACATGACGTTGACACTTTGTCAGAATGGGTTAAATGAATCAGATCCATATAAAGTCGCGTATTAAAAAACTGAGGGGTAATATGAAAACCATCTATCCTTCTGTGTTCAATAATCTAGAAGTGAAAAAAGAATTTGATAGCTCATTATATAAATTGTATTTTAGAAGAACTTGGATTTAATTCCACGAAAGGTAATCCTACATAAACTTCCTTTTCTAAGGAAGACATTCTTCAAATTCATATTTCTGTTTTAAATATGCATAAAATCCATAGAGTCAAAATGAATTTGAACTACCCTCCAGTCTTGTGTTCCACTATATTTCAAGTTAAAGACTACACCATGTATTTCCTACAAATATACATCTACCATTGCAGTCCAAACTTTTCAATTACAAAAACACTTTACACGGCTTGGATACCGACTATCTGAAACATAATCCTCCTTTGTGTTCATGTTCTTCTTCGCCCTATAACTATAGTCCTGCTGGACACGTTATTACAGGTGACGTAAATATAGTTCGTAATGAGGACCTAAGATCACTTATTTTAAAAGGTCCTAAATATAGGGAACCTCGATCCTTCAACTGGCGTCGGAATTTCATAAATATTATGGATTCTGTTGAAAATTACGCCAGACAATGGGCCAGATATAAAAAGACGTTGACACATTGTCAGAATGGATTATATGTATCAGATCCATGTTAAAGTCACGTATTAAAGATTGAGGGGCGACATGAAACCCATCTATCCTTTTGTGTTCAGTAAAACAGAAGTGAAAAAAGAATTAGATAGATTACACGATCGGTACGTACTAGTTCCTGCCGACAAAGCAGGTAACAACATTGCCTTTGTTTGTAAGGCTCATTATATAATTTGCATTCTAGAAGAACTTGGATTTAATTCTACAAGTGGTAATCCTACCTATACCTATACCTCCCTTTCTAAGGATTGATTGATTGTATATTCTTTAACGTCCCTCTCTAGAAATTTTCACTCATATGGTAACGTCACCGTGTGCCGGTAAAGGGCTTCGAATTTTGACCTATACTCGGCACTCAGGGCCATTGAGCAGTGGGGGATCTTTACGTGCCAACGCCTGCCGATGACACGGGGCCTTGGTTTTTAAGGTCTCGTCTGAAGGACCCGCAACTTTCACTTCAAAGTGACGGGCGCATGGCGAAGGAACAGTTGCTACCCATTTAACGACAACGTCAGTCGCGGTCGAGATTCGATTTCACGACTACCCGATTACGAGCAAGCGTGAACGGTTCCCTTTCTAAGGAAAAAGTTCTTCAAAATCACCTGTCAGTTTTATACACTTTTAATACTCCACAGAGTCAAAATGAATTTGAACTACCTTATATACATTGGATTCCGAATTCATAATTATCCTTACAAACAAAGATACAATGCAGGTTCCAGTAAATGTTCAACCAAGTCTCTTTCGTTTCTTCTCACCAAGATATTGACAGAAGTATATATATTCAAGAAGAGGTGTAAATCAGATAGGAATACTTTAAATTTCTAAAGAACTTTTGGACAATTTGAAATCACAAGACTTTACAAAAATCAACAGCTTAAAAACTTACAACATTTCAACTTTATATACCACATTTCCCCACAACAAATTAAAATCCAGGCTTTTTGAAAACATTGACAGCTGCTTCTTCAATAAACATGGAACTCATAAATTTACTTACCTCGTCACTGGTCATTTGCAAAATTATTTTGTTAAAGCAGATTCTGATTGCACACATAAGTACTCTAAAGTTGACAGCAAGAAGATGCTTGATTTTCTGATTGACAATATCTATGTGGTTTTTGGTGACCAGGTATTCCAACAATCTATTGGAATTTCCATGGTTATAAATTGCGCTCCGTTATTAGCAGACTTATTTTCAAATTCATATGAAGCAGAATTTTTGCAAAATCTTATGCGTGAAAAGAAGAAAACGCTTGCTATGGCCTTCAACTCGACATTTAGATATATCGACGACGTATTGTCAATAGATAATGAAAATTTCCATTCCTGTTTACAGGTGAAAATAAATTTCAGAATATGTTATCTTGGCGCTAAAAGTGTAATATAAACTTAAGAAAATATGCTGAGCCAGGTGTAAATCTTTACTGAATGTGATTTGTCTATATTCGTTTTTTTATTGAAATATTACTAATATTTTCCAAATATATTTCATTTTCCAGTTCTTCGGAGAAAAAATTCTAAGAACCATCCTCTTTTCTTAACTTGTGACATGATATTCAATCTTTTTCAAAGAAAATAATTGTTTGTATCATCTGTCCTTAAAACAATTCTACCTCCCTCCTGCAGAGGATATCTCACTTCTGGTTTTCCAGTGGTCTGTATTTTGGCCCTGCCTCAAAGATTTGCTAAAAAGATTTTTCAAATGATTGTTCACTCTTTTTTTTATTGTATATGTTTGTATTGAAATGGACTATTCATCAAACAGTCCATCGTGTTACTTTTCAAAAGAATTAAAAAGTATATTATTATTTATCTCAACGATTTATACTCCTTTAGTTGTAAGATTTTTCTAGCAATACCTAAAATAGAATCAAGATAGTTCCGATTGATTCATTATATACTTAAGTACTTTGTGAATATTTCATATTATAATTGTTTTTTATCCGTCATGAAGGTATTGTATGTAGATTAAAACAATAATTTTTAATGTTGTCAAATATTAGAGGTACGAGGGGTGATCAAAAAGTTCGCGAACTATCTCTATATCTACAAAACCACAATTCAGATTAGAATGAAATTCGGTTCACACATAGCCATACACAAAATCTATAAATAGCATATGCTAAGTAAAGTTTTTCTCCTTGTTTGTGACGTCATAATGTGAAAATGACGTCACTATGTAGGTCACTTGGGATGAAAAATGGTTGTCTCAGTCGAACACGCTCAACAAACGACTGTACAGTTTGTTGTATATCTTAGAAATCGCTCTGCAATATAATATAATAATTTGTACACAGTTTATTAAGATAAATGAGTTCCTATAGATTTAATTAATGATTGAATTGATCGTTTTAGTGAAGGAAGATAGATAGTTAAAAATGATACTTGTCATCTTGCCCAGTGTAAGCAAGATTGAAAAGATATGTCTTTTTAATTAAGCAATTTGCTATCAAAGACCTCCAATTTACATTTGAAAATTAGTTGAATATTTGAACAAAAATATAATTATTAAATACCTAAGATATCGTTTACTTTAGATTTTAAACATATAAGATACGATAAAAAGAAGGTACCCCTTCCATATCCACCTGGAATAAAGGTCTCTCCGGGACAGAAAATTTGTGTTTTAATAATCGCCATGCTTATTTATGGAAAGGATATTCTTATCCATCCATTCTGTTGCCGAGATTTGACCATTTCTGACGTATGAACTGTTCTTTTCATAAAAATTAACTCACATGGAAAGAAATATAAAACTCAGAAAATTTTTTCAACTTTTGTGACAGAACAACACGGAGGGGGTCACGTGACCGCCAATATCACTTGATTCGCGCATGCGCAGAACGGTGGTTGATGTGCATTAAAATCGGAGAGGATTCATTTAAAATATAATCAACATTGAAACCAAATATTGTTTCTTTTATGGAAGTTATTCAATTAGTTCGCGAACCTTTTGATCACCCCTCGGATCTTATCATTTTCAAAGGTTCTACAAAAAAGAATAGACGGCTCAACTGATTTCTATCGAACTTGGGAAGAATATAAAGTTGGATTTGGAGATCCTAGGAACAATTACTGGATTGGTAAAAATCAACATTTCTTTTTAAATACATACAACACGTTATGTATTACTTGACTCTGGCAATAAATCATATCAAAGAATATCAACGACATATGATGCAAGTTTTTTGGAATTTGATTCATTATTTGATGCATTTCTCAATGCTATTAAAGACACCAAGATATCGATGTTAATTTTATTTTATATACCTGGTATGAAAACTTTAAATTAATAAAATTTATAATTAGTCAATTAGTCAATACGATCACTTTGTTAAATCCGGATTTTTTTTAAATGATGGTAAGCATATAATTCGATAAAACATATTTTACTTTTTGGATTGTTTTCATCTGATTTAAAGGAAATGATGCAATCCATGCTTTAACCAGATATCAAGTTCAGAAACTGCGAGTGAATCTCCAGAGATTTAATGGGGACACAGCGTATGCTGAATATTCCACGTTTTATATCGGAAACGAGGCTTATAAATACCGATTGACACTCTCCGGGTACACAGGAACTGCAGGTTAACTACAATTATTATTTTCTAATACCTTTTCACGATATGTTGCTAGGCAACATACAAATTAGTATATAAAAAGTCCAAATAAATCTTTGCACGAAGAACATGCTCTGCAAGTGATGTGCAGCAGTTGAACTATATCCCTCGGTGTCTATAATATCGATTTCAAGGGGATGAAGCGAATCAATGTTTGAATAAAAAGAAATAATTGTATTAATGTGCATATTGAAATATATGAAGATAACGAACAGTATTCAAGATCAAAAGCCCGTTAAACACTGCAAAATGGGAGCATAGAAAACACAGACTTCCCAAACATCAGATGTGGGATCATGTGCCATGGAGGAATGAGCATTCATTATCGACCGGTCACACGTCAGTATTTGGATATTTTAGTTTATGCCTAAGGGTCTAGCCACCAGAATTTGGCACATCTGTTCATCCTCTGCCTTATATCATGATCAAAGCAGTCTTCTTTTGTCAAGAGAGGATGCACGTACCGTACAAACCGTACAAATTACTAATGTTGAGGTTGCGGGACATAACATGCAAAACTTATTACGCTGCAAGGAGAAAGACAATAGCTGCAGGGTCCCTCTGATAACCAAATACCACCCCAACATTGAAGGCTACACATTGGAGTACATGATAGTAGTGGTGATTGATCATGATTCAGAGGGACAGACAATAAGAGAAAAAATCAAGGAAACATTTTGGATGCACATATTGAAGTCATTCCGTCCAAATGGTATTAACAAACTAGCAAATAACTTTACCGGCATGAATGTGAACTAGACCCAATTCCTGATGGTTATTGTAGTATCTGGAATTAGCCAATATTTCCACAATCTGACCAGGAGACAGACAAAATCAATACAGGGTCCCAATGGGATGGATGGATAGGACGCCTGGAAAATTTGTGCATTGTCCTGAAATTAGTTAACCTAGTAGTGCCCGACGGTGAGGAACCTGATCAAAACATGATCAAAAGTTTTTATAGACGGTAGAAAAAGAGTCTTACTGTTACACTATGTCGGCGAGAGAACGTACGATATATACGAGGCTCAGAAGGGAACAACAACTCAGGATAACAGCGTTACAAAAAGGTACTTACTGATTATTTTCGCCCTAGAAAGAATACTCAGATGGAGATTTATAACTTTTATTGTTATAAACAAAAACGTTAATCCCTTGTTGAGTTCCTGATTGAGCGAACTGTGAATGTATTGACACAGACAGTGCAATTTCACAAAATATTCAGAACTGTAGGTCTAATCAGTTAAGATGAAGAGTACTTAAAGAAGATGACAAGACTCTTGATAAAATTATTCAGCTTGGTCGTGCAATGGAAATCTCCGACTCGCAAGCAACAGCAATGGAGAGGCTTGACACAGCAAACATAAACAAAGTGATTAACAAGCGACCATGTCGACATCACTCAATAACATTAAAGCAACGAAACCATGTCTCAAAACCAAAACTCAAAGGACAGTGTTGGAATTGTGGTAGACCTTTTCCCCACACGGACCGTCCATGTCCAGCAAAAGGACAACAGTGTCAGGACTGTCATTAAGTTGGGCACTACAGAAAAATGTGTGGAAGTAAGAAACCTCAGAAAGTGAGACCAGTCAAAAGAGAGGACAATAACAAAATTATAGTGACAGTGATTCTGATGGTTATTGTTATGGAGTTAAACTCATTGGACGGACAGAGAGTATCAGCACTGTTAGTTGACAGTGGATCCTCTGTGAACATTCTAGATGAGACAGATTATGAAAGGATTGGGAAATAAGCCTTAAACAAAGGAAAGGGCAAGGAAAATTAGTTCCATTTGTGTTAAGGACACAATTAAAGTGTTGGTCACATACGATGTAAAGATTGAAGCTCCTCAGAAATTTATTCTGTGTACATTCTATGTGGTGAAGGGGAGATGAAGATCCCTTCTAGGATACTCTACATCGAGTGAACTGAACATTATTAAAGTGATCAACAAAGTCGAAACACTTTGAAGTTATGTTGAGAATGACTCACCATCTGTTCCAAGGAATAGGTAAATTTCGAGGAGAAGTGAAGATTCATATTGATGAATCGGTGCCTCACGTAGCAAAGAAAACCCGTAGAACTCCATTTCAGCATCTACTGGACACAGTTAATATCGAATGAGAGATTTTGTCTGAAGAGTATGTAAACTTCATCGCCATGGAATCTTTCTTTAACACGGGCAAGAGAACTAGATGATGTGTAATGAGCTACACTGAAGACTTTACTTTGCAGAAGACCATCGAATGTACTAGAAATGGTGATTGGTACAATAGGTTGGCTCAATATCATATATCTCGCTGGGCATCATGGATACAGAGCATCCGGGCTACTTGTAATATCTGCGCCATTTTTGCGCCAAAAAAACAAAGACATTGAGAATACTATCAAAGAATGACTAAGGTATGCCCAAGAATTGGGGAGGAAGATACAGCCAGTTTGAAGAAAAGAAGGGGAAGGAGAAGACTCGGAAGAGGGATCAGATGGAAAGTGGCAGGGCGTAACTTTTTTCAGCTATATACTGTGGCAAACTTATAGTTCTACCCTTTTGTGTGTCTATTTGTCGGAAACAGAGACGTTGCAGATGCAAGAAACATTATTTTATTTAAGTAATCCATATAACGGGATCTATTTTAATATATTTTTTTTGTAAAAAGGGGCTTCGATCTTTTATTTTACCTGTACTTATTGATGCCTTCAATTAACTGATCTTGTGCATTCACAGCAGAGATGGGGGTTTACAATTTAATTAATTCCATAGTAGGTTAGGTAATGAAACACGCATTCAGTGACTACTCGGTGATACAGTCAAACTGCTGTCCCTCGGTAGTGGGGAAGACCTTGGAAACTGTTGCCCGAGACCGAAGTTTCCCAGGTCTTCCCCACTACCTCGGGACAACAGTTTGACTGTTTACCTCGTAGTCATTAAATGAGTATATACAATCTTTTGTATGCGTGATGTAACCTTAGGACCGTCATTTGTGAACACCAACAAATGAAAATGAGATTAAGCCCCGCCATTCTGTGACGTAAACGGTCCAACATCTCACTCAGCGGTCGAACATCGATTTTTTATGCCCTCTCAGTAAAACATTAGAAATGTTAGACTTTTCCCTTATAGGTTTCTGTAGAAACAAATTTGTAAAGGTATAACAATAAGCAGTGTTATCTATGCGACAATAAGAAGCAGTGTTTACTATGCAACAATGATTAGCGGTGTTAAATATGCAACCATACTTAGCAGTGTAAGTTATGCAATCATACTTAGCAGTGTTAACTATGCAACCATACTTAGCAATGTTAGCTATGCAACAATGATTAGCAGTGTTAACTATGCAACTGTAACGGTTTCGTAGTTATATTTTGGAAGTAAAAGTACGTTTCAGGGTTCAGAACATCTCCATTTTATTCACCACAGATTAACACATAGAAATACGAAATTGGTAACAGGAAAATGCTCTGAAAAATATAATAACAAATAATATATATATAACATAATATATTCTAATACATGTATATCCATGTCAATATAGCTAGTAATTTAATCTGCGGTAACAGATACACTGGATAAAGGGGGGGGGGTAACTTTTCACACGAATTACACATTATAAAATAGATGAATACCCCTTTCGATATTCTATTTGAAAAATAATAAAACCTTTATACAACAAAACTGATTTATATTTTACAATAATGTCTTTACAGACTTTACAACTTCAGAATAACCATAAAATATATAAAACAATAATATCCTACCAATCTATGGGGTCGAGCCTCTCCCATTCATGAGCGTCATTATCAACATCACTCACAACTTAGATCCAGATTATAAAACTACAAATTATCATAGTTTACATAAGTAAACTTATCATCATAAAAATATACACATATTTATTTAAAAAGAAACTATCTGTATCAATAAAACAGTTGCTCGTAAATCAGATTCTGAATGTGCAAGTGCTATGGAATTAACTTTGGCAAAATTACAGACTTTACAGTGAAATCAAATATTAGAAATCATATTAGAATTAGTATAAAGATGTTAACTTACCTTAATAGAGAGAACTATCGTCTAAGTCAAATGTCAAAAGTCTGATTTAGCCATTCTGAAGGCCATGAAATTCACAATTCACAATTTTGAAAGAGGCACTATTGCTTATCATAATTATAAACTTAGCATGCTTACTCTATTTACTTAATACTCAGAGATTGATCGGAGTATAAACAAAGAGAAAATGCACTTCCACTTTAAAACCAGTTTTGTACTTCACCCCAAAAGAACCACTGACCCTGGGGCCATTAAATTCACAATTTTGGAAGAGACACTCTTACTCATCATAACTGTGTGCTTTGTTAGTTTATTTTATACCAAGAAGCAGAGAAGAAGATTTTCAAAAGAAATAAGGCATTTTCACTATATATAATCAATATAGGGCCCCGCCCTAACACCATAATACTGACCCTGGGGCCAAAAAATTCACAATTTTGGTAGAGGCACTCTTGCTCATCATAACTATCTGTTTAGTTGGTTTATTTAATACCCAGGAGCAGAGAAGAAGATTTTCAAAGAAATAATGCATTTTCACTATATAATCAATATAGGGCCCCGCCCTAACACCAGAACCACTGACCCTGGGGCCATAAAATTCACAATTTTGGTAGAGGCACTCTTGCTCATCATAACTATGTACTTAGCTGGTTTATTTAATGCCCAGGAGCAGAGAAGAAGATTTTCAAAGAAATAATGCATTTCCACTATATAATCAATATAGGGCCCGCCCTAACACCAGAACCCCTGACCCTGGGGCCATAAAATTCACAATTTCGGTAGAGGCATTCTTGCTCATCATAACTATGTTCTTAGTTGGTTTATTTAATACCCAGGAGCAGAGAAGAAGATTTTCAAAGAAATAATGCATTTTCACTATATAATCAATATAGGGCCCCGCCCTAACACCAGAACCCCTGACCCTGGGGCCATAAAATTCACAAATTTTGTAGAAGCACTCTTGCTCATCATAACTATGTACTTAGTTTGTTTATTTAATGCCCAGGAGCAGAGAAGAAGATTTTCAAAGAAATAATGCATTTTCACTATATACTTATTTAGCCCGGCCCTATTACCAGAACCTCTAACCCCAGGGCCATGAATTTCACAATTTTGATAGAGGACTCAATGCTGATTATAATCATGCAAACAGTTTGACTGCTTGATGTCCAGGAGTAAAGAAGAAGATTTTTAAAGATTGCACTAATTTTAGTGGTTTTGGCCCCACTCCTCAGGCCACAGGGGGGCAGGGACCATGAAATTCACAATTTTTGTTCCCCTTTACCCACAGATGCTTCAGGTAAAATTTGGTTGAAATTGGTTCAGTGGTTACAGAGAAGAAGCTGAAAATGTTCAAATGTTAACACACGACGAACGACGCACGACGACGGACGAAAACGGATAGCAATAGGTCACCTGAATCTACTCAGGTGACCTAAAAAGAGTGTGTACTTCCAACCAAAGATCAAAGACCAGAGCCTTCATAATCCAAGGCAATAATAATTAGGTACAGCTGCTACCTGTTCTACCTGGGTGACCTTTAAGTATTCAATAGCAATACTTTTAAGTACAAATTAAAAACATGAAATATATTAAATAAACTAATAAATCTAATACTGTAATAAAACCAAAATTAGCAGTGTTAACTTTGCAATAAAGATTAGCAGTGTTAACTATGCAACCAAGTTAACTAACGCAGCAATACTTGCAATGTCAATACTTATTATGAATTTAATATTATCATTTTAAATGTAAATATTATCAATGTCCTGTTTCAGGTGATAGTTTGTCAGACCTAAATGGCAGGAACTTTTCAACAAAAGACCAGGATAATGACAATAACAATAACTGTGCTATAGATGGTCGTGGAGCCTGGTGGTACGACGGTTGTGCCAACTCAAACCTAAACGGGTTGTATTCCCTGTCTTCTAAGTATAGTTATAGAAACCTACACTGGGCACACTGGGTACTTGAAGCGCTTCAAAAGACTGTGATGATGATCAGGAATAAATAACTGAGATAAAAAAAACACCATCTGTAATATTTTATAGAATAATCATAAATATTAATGTGAGTTTGTCTTGTTAATATATACGTACTTGTATGATTAAGTCAGAAATAAGTTATGTTAGTTGTTTTGTTATTAGTGACGTATAAATATCCCCTTAAGATGCTGAAAAAAAAATTATTGTGCAATAACGTTTTATTCATGACATTTGATTTTAGCAAGGCACGGTGTTATTGTTATAGTGATAATTTTATGCTTTGAAATTATTATAATATTCAAACAGATAATTTATTAATTATATATTTATGATTATACCACAGCTGATTTTTAACTAAAATAAATGTATTATTCTGTGTGTCAATCAATATTGATTAGGATGAATGGTTCATAAATCAAATACGGCCATTCAACATTTTCAATGACACAAGACTAATCGAAATTAAATAGACAATCAGTTACGACTTCAGATCCATTCCTTATTCGACTAGTACACCTTTAAGCAGCTTCTTGGAAGAAAAACATAATTCAGCTTGATATTCGACTTTGACGACATAATTATTGCATATAAGTTTTAACCTTCACTTTACACTGACTACCAGATTCTACTATACAGCATAAATATCTTATTTACCTATTCTTATTAAGAACTATATTTCAAATGTTATTTATCTGAGTTATCCGAACTTGTAACGTATTTACAGAAAACGAAGGGATCATACCTGGTCATTTCCAGGGTTTGGGGTGTTCAACATTAAATGATTGGAAATACTTATTATGATTTAAGTGGATCGCAAAATGTAAAAATGTAATATTCCGGAAATTTATATTGTTATTACTAAGATTCAGTTGCAAGATTGCGTTTGTAAACATCCGCCTTAAAGGGTATATAAAGTCTGAATCAGCGTTATCAAGTGTTCATTCCAGCGCAAGCTGTGCTAAGAGTAAGACGTGTGCGAACCATAACAGCAGTAAGTGAAACTTAACAAGATAAAGTCAGCTTACAGAAGAAGTCCACCTTATAAAATAAATAAGGTGTAGTCTACACAAATTGTGAATTAATAAAGGCTGTTATGTTTTGGTGTGGCAAGCCACTCAGAGCTAACCAGCAACGGAGATTAGCCAGCACAACTGTAATTCGTCTGAAGCTTGTTGACCCATCTGGCAACCAGGCTGTTGAGTACAATGTGTCTGCCTGAATAAGGCTAACAGTGTGCACAGCAGTTGAAGGGCTGTCACTTGTACTGACTGTTTCTTGAATAAGGCTGCAGAACAAGCGTTAGTCCAAGGTTGGCCAGTGTTAGGGATAGGCTACCCACTGCCATTTACATAATCATCTGTAATTATTTGATTAACCTTTGAATATTGTCGTCGTGATTTTTAACCTAGATAAGGTTGGCCATCTATTTGTATATTTTGCAGGCCTTTGTAAACAATCATTTGTCAATCATATATTAAGAAAAAATATATTATATTGGAAATCATCCCCCAAAACCTTGATTCGACAAGGTACGACCCTCGATTGCTATTATTCTACCGCTCGACACGTTACATATCCATAATCACAGATATATATAGTCTATATTCAGTTGACGAGGAATCTAAAATCGGATGCTCCTTGGCCTTTTCAAGAAGACTATTTAAAAGTTTCAAAGGGACAGAGTAAACTTTTGTTCGAATACGATGCAGACCAAACTGTTGATTTACATAAGGTATTAATGAATCAAAAGAGACTTCGTGTATTGCAGGTTTTTTGTACGAACAATGCCCATGCCTACATTTACATCTCTGAGTATGGTTAACTGCGGACTGGAAAGATTTCCAACACTATCGACATTGTCATTACATCCATAGGGAAAGGCTGTCCCTAGTTTTCTAATCCAAAATTCTTCTCGTTGTCTACGTAAAGGTGTACTCAACGACGGACTATTTGTGTGGTGATAAATCTTTTCGAGAATTCTAACTTTCCTTTATAAAATAGAATGATCAAGTGAATTAAAATGTTTGTATAAAAGCTGCTGACCACCATGATTTATTTGAAATCGGTGATCTGATATTCTTTTGTTAAGCGATTCCTTGGTTTAACCGACAAAAACAAGTCCACACAGATTACATTCTATTCCATAAGCAACATTAATTTAGAAGATATGCAGTTCAGATGTTCCCACGTTTTAGTATAGAAGCTCTGTCCAGTAAGATTACTGGTGAAAGAAGTGTCAATTATCAAAATGTCACAGGTTTTACAGTTTCGCACAAAACATTTCGAAACAGATGACATGGGATCGAAAAAGGGATTATCCAATATATCTGTAATAGCAACTTTACACTCTTTCAATTTGGTATATGAGGTATTGGTTTTATACCAAAACTGGGAATCTGAAGACTGTACATATGAAAAATGTTTAATAACCCTGAGGATTATCCGAGGGGCACTATAAGACCTCCTTGAATCTGTGTCCCTTATAGACTAAAAGGAGTGACGCCTTTTTATACTGGGCGACGCGCCTGGCAGTATCATTTCGTTATTCTGTGTACTCATGCATGAATAGGTACCGAACGACAAGTATCCTCGGAACAAACTGTCTACAAGCAGAGATACATGTTCGGTGGTTAAAAGAAGGGTATGGAGATAACAAACAATATTCAATCCCAATGTCCATTAAACAATATACAAAACAAAGCAGAGCAAACACGGACCTCCGAAACATCAGAGGTGGGATCAGGTGCCATGGAGGAGTGAACATCCCCTGCCGACCGGTCACACTCGCCATGTGCTCGTCGTCATGATCAGGAAATAACGGGAAAAAAATCCATCGACAATTCAGTGTATAAATAATGGACTAACAATTGGTATGAAAAATGTCAGTCAACATTTGACTCTATGATAAATTGTATTTGCTGACAAGGTCATTGTATCGACCATAGAACATACGAAATGATGACTTTAAACGAGACTGCTGATATTCTTGTTTCATCAACTTGCTTGTCAATAATTTACCTCGTTTATGAAATTGTTCATACGTAGAGCATGCTCTTGCGTATCGAATCAATTGAGATATATATACTCCGTATGCAGGCGATGAAGGTATTTCTGCATAAGTAAGGGAAGTTGACGATAGAAAAAGTAAAGTCATCACGTTTATCATATAGCTTCGTTGTTAGATTACCATTCGTGTCGTTTTCAAGTAAATATCCAAGTATGAAGCAGAACTGTCGGACTCTGTGATATCTTTTATCTCAAGCTCACCAGGATATATCGTATCGACGTAGGAATGGAAATTATCATTATAAATTGACAACACGTCGTCGATATATCTTAATTTCGAGTTGAAGGCCATAGCAAGTGTTTTCTTCTTTTCACGCGTAAGATTTTGCATAAATTCTGCTTCATATAGATATAAAAATAAGGGAGCGCAATTTGTACCCATGAGAAGTCCAATAGATTGTTGGAATACCTGGTCTCCGAAAACCACATAGATATTGTCAATCAGAAACTCAAGCATCTTCTTGATGTCAACTTCAGAGTACTTATGTGTGCAATCAGAATCTGTTTTAACAAAATAATTTTGCAAATGACCAGTGAGGAGGTAAGTAAATTTACGAGTTCCATTTTTATTGAAAAAGCAGCTGTCAATGATATCAAAAAGCCTGGATTTTAATTTGCCGTGGGGAATTGTTGTGTATAAAGTTGAAAGTCGTAAGTTTTTAAGCTGTTGATTTTTGTAAAGTCTTGTGATTTCAAATTGTCCAAAAGTTCTTTAAAATTTTTAAGTATCCACATCTGATTAAAGGCGACTTCTTGAATATATAGTTGCACAGTACTCTTGAAGTTTTTCCTTCACTACTGTCAATATCTTAGTGAGGAGTAACGAGAGAGGCTTGGTTGAACATTCACTGGAACCTGCAATGTATCTTTGTTTGAAAGGATTCTTATGAAGTTTCGGAATCCAATATATATAAAGTAGTTCAAATTCATTTTGGCTCCTTGGAATGTTAAAAGTATTCAAAACTGACAGGTGATTTTGATGAATATATACAATATATACAATTATGATTTCTTCTGCGATAGCTGTTATACTTTCAGATACCAACAAAAAAAGAATTATTATATATTAAGATATAAAGCAAATCAAGAAAATACCCTCTCTTCCTCTTAGATGTCTGTTTTCTCTGAGATCATTTACCTATACTAGAAAAAGCAGAATGGGCTAAATATAACCGATGATTTACCCATCTGAAGTCACACATTTTAAGATAGCCATATCCACTAGAGTTCTACATGTAACTTCAAAAGTTTTTTTCTCTTCTTGTAATTGTCTAACGCCCCCACCCCCTATAAATATTAAAACCAGGTGTATATTATAAAAATTCGGCAGGCTAAAACGCGTTGTTTTCCTATAGAACTTTTCTATATATATTATTTAAACTTTAAGAATTATTTAAGAAGAATATAGAATTTACATTAGTGTGATAATTATTTTTTATGATTGATAATCATTAATTACGAAGGTTGTCCGATGAAATCGTGGAAAAAGCGTTTTTCTCGAAAAATAGTGGGCGCAATGAGCTAAAATTTTCAGTAAATGTTTATCTATCATATTTAAGTGCTTTATATTTTTTTGGATAAAATATACATGTAGACAAAAATAAAGATTTTATTAAGCTTGAATGTGCGCAGGGTAGGGTCCTACGGCACACGGACAAAAAGCCAAGGTATTATTAGAGAATACACGAGTAATAATTCATAATAAAAGTTTTAAATAGATAAATAAATATAAGATTGGGATAAAAAATTATGCTTATTCGATTCCATGCTCCATCTTGTCGCCTTTTAGAAAATTCAAGGCATTTGGTCAATTGTTGACAGTTTCCCGAACATTTGAAATAGTTATGTTCGAAAATTATTTAAAATTTACAAAATAAATAAATAAAAAATAAGGACGGTCAAATCTATACTTATTAATTAATAAATTTTGCAAATTAATTCCGAAACTCCTCTAGGAATACACTAGTTATAAAGTGATGCCTGGATGATATTCAAGCCCTGTTCACACGAAGAGTTTACGCCCTGTTCACATGGAGTGTTTAATTCACAATATTTACATTCAGTGT